TGCTAAAAGTAGAGGTATCAACAGAATGAGGTCGTGTAATTATCGTGGCTAGGACGTAGTAGAATCGTAGTGAGGTCGTACTGAGGACAACAAGCGCGTAGTAGCAGCGTATTATTGTCTTCCTCGTCGTAGTATAATCGTATCAATATCGTAGTAGAAGCGTGATAAAAACGTAGTGAAATCGGGATAGTCGCAGTAAAATCGTAGTAAGATCGCAACGAAATATTTTCAATTGACTTCCCCGATTTCACCACCTTTCCATTACGACGCGTACGGCCATCATGCTTCTACGCCAATCCCGATCTTACTACGTCCTTACTACGACCTACCTACGCTTCTACTACAACTAGTTTTGGCCACGACTGCACTACGAATGTTGACCCCACAACCATGAAGACTTGGCACGTCCTTACTACGACCTTACCACGATCTTACTACGACTTCCAAAATTTTTCATAATTTCTGAGGTCATAGCGGGATCGTGGTCCTAGTGTGATGGGGTATAAAAGGAGTAATTGCCCTTACATGACAATTTTTTTTTCGTTTTTGCCTATTATCTTGAAAATTATAATAGATAGAGAGAAACTTTTAATAGCAAAAATGATCGACAAGACAAGATCTACATATGGCCGAAATCGTCAGACGTCTCCTAACTAGACTTAATAACATAAAATGACGATTTTTATCAATTTCTAGTGATCTTGAAAACTGTTATAGATGGATAAACACTTTAAATAGCTAAAATTGATCAAGAAGACAAGATCTACAAATATGTTAGCATGGTCGAATTCGTTAGTCGACTCGTTATTGGAGTTATTGCTCTTTAATGACGATTTTTACCAATTTATTGACGTTTATGCCTATTATTCTGAAAACTATAACAGAAAGAAACTTTAAAAAATAAACATGGTCAGCAAAAAAAGTCAAAAAGCCGAAATAGTTAGTAGACTTTTTGTAGGAGTGATAACCTTTTAATGCTTTTCTTGTACTGGTTTTTCTTGTATATTCTTTTAGGTACGCATTGTTAATGTACTGATCAATATCAAAATGGAAAGGTCAAGTTGAGATGTAAAGAAATTAGTTTAAACCACATATTTATGTACGTGTTTTTAGTCAGGAACCTCGTAAGAAGTTGTTAAGTACTATTTTTATGTTTTTCTTTTTTTTTATAGATTTAATTGGGTGTTGATGACACATCTTTGATTATTTCTATTAAACTTATTTATAACTTTTTTACGATGGCCCGGTGTCAAAATGTATTTTGATCCCCTTAGAAAATTGACACTGGGCTACAAAAATAGGAAATGAAAAAAAAACTTATAAAATTCGTCCATTCAAATTTTTATTCTGGATTTACATGTACTTTCACCAGGAACGATCAAACCAAAACATTCGAAAGCCAGGGATGTATCAATACGCAGAAACTAGTAAACTGTAGGTGTGCAAATCTTGAAGGCTTTATTCATAGGTCAATCTCTACGGCATCTACAACTTTGCATTACTTATAATTTATGACAAGTTCTATCACACAGGTAAAAGAATTACTTCCAATCCTGATCTGCATACAGTCAATACAAGATGTTTATGTTCATTTTAAAGACACAATGTGCAATAAATATGTTTTTGAATTCAAAATGTTCAATATCTAACGACCAATATTGTGTATACATATAGCTTTTATACTTTTCAATTGGTTTTCCACTTATTGTTAGGTCAAAACTGCAAAAATACATGTTGTGCATGATTGATAAAACTTTATTATATATGGACATATACACATATTTTTCGTATCATGCAACCGGCAATCTTTATTTATAATGAAGGTATGGATGTAGAATATCGAATAGAGCACAAAGAGCAAAAACAAAATAAAATAAACATACAAAATAGAGGATATTTGGGTGCTAAAAGGTAGAGAATAGAGAATAATTGAAAAAAAAAAGAATCGCAAAATAAGGCCTAAAAATTAAAGAATTCAGAATTGAAACCCCCTTCAGACCCTCTATTATTTATCTATTACAATTAGATAAACTAACTTATTCTTAACAGAAACGTTCATATCCGAAGTACATTTTGTACATTGTTTACTATGCTCTGGGACTATTATAAAAAGTCAATATAATGTGTCCCAGCTATGCTATACATTTTTTATTTTATAATTTTATGCAATGAAATAAATTCTTACTCTCATTCTGAAAACGACTTTCCATAAAGGCATAGATAAACGGATTAATTATATTGTTGATAATATAAATTTCATTTACAAAAATCAAAACATGTCGAACATTGTGCGACATATCTTCCCATAAAGCATCACCAAGACCCTCCATAACAAGCAATATGACTTTTGGAACATAACACAAAATAAAAAATATAGTTATAACCATAAACACTGTTGTCAATTTGTGGTTAATATTTGTCTTTTTGTGTAATTTTTCTAAATTAGTTTTTGAAATCTTTGCCACTTGAAATTCCTTTTCTTGAAAACTATGGTCTTTGGAAGTACAATGTTCATCGCTTGATCCTGTAATTAGAATATCGCTAGTATGCATTTCGTGGTCTTCTCTATTTCTTTCACGCATTGAATTTTCATTTTTTGCTATACTTGTAAAATGGCGGTATAATTGTAATGCAATTTTGGTATATATGACAACAAGAAGTTTCATAATAACTAGTATAGACAATACTAATACAACAATATATAGACAATTACTACAGTTTCGTCTTCTTCCTTTACCCTTGCGCACTGAAAACCTGTTAAATTTTTATCTACGTTTGTGATTTCCACTGAGCTATGGAATATTATCATTGGTGTTGCAAACGCTGCCGATAGTACTATACTAATCATAAGTGATATCCTCCTCCAGAATATATTCATGTCAAAACCGACAGAACCACACACATTTAGATGTCGTTGTATGGCTATAATAGCTAGAAAAAAGACGGACATCAACGTCAAAAAGGATGCAGCAGCCCAAAAAATTTTGCAAACAATTGAATTGTAAAAGGTCACAGTCATTATCATCCTGCTTTCCATAACTCTTAAAATAGGACATATGGTTGCTGCAAAAGGATCTACTGTAGCTAATACTGGAATAAAATATCTTTCGTCAGACATTTTCATTTTCATGCAATAGATAAGAAGTGTAGAAACATTTCCAAATAATCCAATCACTATGCAAAAAATCAGAAATATGTCTCCTGAAGCATATCTTCCATCAGATTGGAGTTCCAAGCATCAAAGTCCATTTTGTTTCTTTTTCTCGTCCGTATTATCACTATATCCCAAAAATACTCTCAATATTTGTTACTGATATCTTCTTATTTTACTATCAATTAGTAGATATAAGAAGATGTGGTATGAGTGCCAATGAGACAACTCTCCATCCAAGTCAAAATTTATAAAAGTAAACCATTATAGGTCAAAGTACGGTCTTCAACACGGAGCCTTGGCTCACACCGAACAGCAAGCTATAAAAGGGCCCCAAAAATTACTAGTGTAAAACCATTCCAACGGAAAAACCAACGAGCTAATCTATATAAAAAACAAGAAACGAGAAACACTTATAAACCAAATCAACAAACGACAACTACTGAAAATCAGATTCCTGACTACATAGATATAAGAAGATGTGGTATGAGTGCCAATAAGACAACTTTCCATCCAAGTCACAATTTATAAAAGTAAACCATTATAGGTCAAAGTACATGTTTATATATGTATGTGTATAAGAGTATTTGATGTGTAAATAATGTTCGTCTTTTTAAATAAAAAACCGGGTATATATTTATATATAATATATGCGGAAAGGAAAAAGATTATTTGTATTAAAACATATTAAATAACATGATGTACATGTATCGTATAACATTGTGTGTCGAGGATAGTGACATTAGCACACGTTTATTGTGTTGAACGTTTAAACATTTCTACCCAGGTTTTTATTTTACTTTTTAAAACTGTATGGTTTTCACGAAAACTATAAACCGTTCAGAATACTATTACAGATGTATTATCTGACTTGAGATTAACATAACTTTGCATTGTAACAAAATTGCTTATAGTTTTAAATGTAAAAGTTTCAGTATGTGTGACTTGTAGATACTTCTTTTCGGGCGAAAAACTTTTGATATGCCAGCAAAGCTTGCACTATAAATAAGAAGATGTGGTATGAGTAGGTTTAAAAATGCAACTTAAATGAATACTTATAACTGTTAGTACTGTCAAACAGATTTTTTTCGTCATTCTCGTTTAATCCGATTTTTTTTATGAGATTCAAAATGGCTGCTACGTTACAAAAAGACGGAACGGAACGGAACAGGGCAATCGAAGCAGACATATGTTCCGTGTATTTAAAGAGAATGTGAAATATCATTGGTATTTATATATGTTTACTTGGGGATACCACTGATAGACTACCACAAGGCCAATACCATTACATTGATAAATATCACTGGCGCCATACCATTGCTATATAATTTCCATCACTGGGGTGATACCATTGATATAATTACCACCCCTGGAGCGTTACCAGTAATAAACGGCCACTGGTGCGATACCATTGATGTACCAATACTGGGGCGATACCATTGATATACGACCACTTGGGCGATCCATTTGATTTATCACCACTGGGGCACAATGTTCAGGAATGATGTCCCTTTGAAATGTAAATTATATGGAAATTATCATTGTAAGCAATCTCACGCCGCCTCCAATTCTTGCAGGATATTTATGAAAAGTTAAAGAGTACACAAAACATTTTGTGGAAATATTGCCCTTAGGCAAATGAAACATCTTCATAGGTGGGGCCATTAAAACGCTGTATTTTATTCTGTTGGTAATGTTTGATTATCGTCCGTTAAAGGTTTTATTATTTTAAACGATTTTTCGTGATACATCTTGTACATGGCATAGAAGTAAACTGACTGTAGGGCTGAAATTATACCAATTTAAAAAGGCAACATAATTCATTGCGTATGTTTGCGCCCGAGGTTTATTATTCAATACGTCTCAAACCAAAATATGGCATAGCCAGTTCAACAGCCTGTAAAGCTCCATTTCCCCAATCCGAGAAAGAACGAGAATTAAAAGCATTTGAAACCACAAAGACATCATCACTGAGTGATGGTTTTGTCATTTGCCTTTCAACCGTCGGCCATATATATCCCGGCATCCATGTTTGCCATGCACCACCGTACGGATAATTCTTCCATACAATTACAGCAGCATTTGTAGGTCGTGGTATGGTTCTGATCGGAATTTTATATATATCAGACAAATATCTCTTTGTTACTTCATCAAGTTCTTTTCCATTTACGAAGTCGCCAGAAGTTTCGTTGCCATACGCTCTGTTGAATAATTCTTCCCAGTAAGATACATCTGTATCTGTGTACATAGCCTGTAGTACAGACTTGGAGGGATTAAGAATTGACGTACCAAAGTCGTACGTTTGTCTTAAGGGAGTGTCTGATATTAAATAGTCAGAATAAACAGGAGATCTCCTCCACCAGGGAGAATCATAACTGAAATAAAGCTTTGCTGCGGGAATATCTTTTACTGCTTTGGTAATATATTCTCTAATACGAGGTTGGTAAAGACCCTGCCAGTCCAGTTTTTCAAGTGACAATCTATTAACTGCAAGGATGACTTTCTTTGCACACTTTTTAATTGTTGATTTAGACTGAAATGAAAACATAAATCGTTCTGTATGGATAGTACAAAAAGATGTTTCTAACGTTTATGATATATTATTCAATATGTGACGAATATATTCATGGGTAGTAACCTCGTCATATAGAGGAGCGTTTAGTAGTGATTTTGTCTTAGTTTGGTTAAGTTGGTCATGGATTATTTTGGTTACTTCCCAGAACGGTTGCCTCATTTCAATAAAAAGGAAATAACATATTTGAATCTATATTGTAAGTCCAACGATCTAAATTGAAATTGTTGTTTTTAAGATATTAACGCAGGATAACCAAAATATCGAGATTGGTATGGTTTGGTTACGCGATGGACATAGTTCAATTAAGTGTCTAGAAATTCGTCATGGTTTTGATCGAATTTGTCATGGTTTAGATCAAAATTGATACATATTTGTTTCACCTTAATATTGATAGTTTGTATAAAGGCGCTTGTGAAAAAACGGAGTTACACAATTTACAAATTGACTAAGAAGAAAAAAAAAACCTTTTTAACCAAATTTGGTGGGCGTAATCGGCAAACTTGGCCGTCGTTTATAGATTTTATAACCCGTTTAAGATTTTTTTTATCCTTTATTCAATAAAGTAAAACAATATCCGAAAAAGCTCTGTCGATCTAGTATTTAGTATGCGAATTAAAATATACATTATTAAATTTGATTGAAAAAAAAGTAATTTAAATTCCAGGATACATGTGTTATTTGTTTAGTACAAGTTCATTTATTTTTGACAAGACTAGACCAGAAATCGTCGTTCTTAATAGCAGAGAATAAGATGGATGAAGATGAGTATTGGCAACTAAATTCAAATTCTGAAAATAAAAAAAAAGTAACGTTTTGTCCTGGATTCATGATTTTTTTTATTAGTTGTTATTGGCTTGGAACTTCCAGTAAATGCAAATACTCACAGATCGGTTTTTCGTGTTTTTTGGTATTTACGTGACTTGATTATTTTGCTTTGTATCGATCTAATGAGTCAAGTCCTTTTCAACTGATTTTTATATTTTGTTCTTCTTTGTTGTGCTGTTACACCACTGCCCAGGTTAAGGCGAGGAGAGGGTTGGGAGTCCACAAACATGTTAAACGCCGCCATATTCTGTATGTGCCTGTCCTAAGTCAAGTCAAGAGTGTGTAATGCAGTGACTGTCGTCTGTTACTGTATATCATATTTGATTTTCGCTTATTATTTTGAACATAAATCAGGCCGTTGTTTTTCTCATTTGAGTTGCTTTACATTTAATTTTGTTGGAGTCTTTTATTGCTTGCTAAGAGGTATGTGTTTTGTTAATTACTGTAGGTAGTATGGCGACCTAACAGTTTTTTTCAATAGTTGTATAATGTCTGTTTATTTTGATCGTTACTCTTTCATCATACACGACATGAATCACAGGACTGAACCATGTCGAACATGAACTAAACCATGACACTACTGACCCAAACCATGACACCGAATTTTCAGTTATCTTAAATTGTGTGCAAATGTAGCTATTTTTCGGAATAATTAACGGCAGGTTAATATCATAATGAAATATGTGATGTAACAGACAATAGACAAATCACTTTTCTTTATGCATAAGAAACGAATCACAACTTTTAAGTTTTGAACTACGCAAACATTATCTGTGTCAAATTATTAACTATCTGATACAAATTTGAATGTACTAATATATGTGCCTTAAACAAAGTTACTTACCAGCTTGAATTTATGTTCAGAAATTCCTTTAGCAAAAAACGGATTGTTTATATTGTGTCCTTGTTTGTCATTTATAAACACTTAACACAGTCATGTCCAACTTAACCAAACTATGACAAAATCACTGCACTAAACGCTTCTCGATATGACGAGGTTACTACCCGTGATATTACCATGCACCAATTACTAGTAGCTAGTAGTACTTCGATATTGGCATGCTATGGGTGTTCTGTTTAGGATTGTGACTGTCCAAACTTTTGCCTTCGAACGATACTGCTGAAGTAAGTACAGATTCAAATGTGTATGCACGGAAATCATATCAAAAGTTGAAAAAAGAAATTCCGAAATATGACAAGATAACAATGAAACTGACGTAAATGCATTTTTTGTGACTCTACATTTCGATCAGAAGATTAACAAAGCGTTCATAAAATAAAAATCAGTACAGGAAAATCTTTTTACTTTAAATAAACGGTATAATAAGAAACAAACAGAAATTTTAACGTATTACAGAATGCTTGCAGTTACTGAAAGTAAGTTCAAGTAATTAACATTTAAAAGAAATCTTGACATCCTACACTTGATATTGACCATGTTGTAATCTAATGTAGATGCATATACATGCCAATGAATTATTTTCTTCATTTGCAATATTTAGTTAATAATAGAATAGTTTATAAATAACTGAAAATGAAAAATTGGAAAAAGTCACTGAGTCAGATGCAGGGCTTAGTTTGTATACAACATGTGCTCTAGAATATAACCTTGCGTCTATAGAATGCACTGTAAACGTAAAAGAGAGAAGAATAACCCAATTATCCAGAACATAATCTTGGAACTATAAACAACTGTCATACAAGTGGGAGGGTTAGCTAGATATACAACCAGGAATAATCTTCTGAAAATGCGTGTACCAAGTCTGGTATTTTGACAGTTTTTTTTCCAGTCGTTCTGGTGGTTGTTAAAGTCGATTGTTTGGTTTTGTCAGATTTTGTGGGATTCCCCTTTTTGAATTTATCTTGGAGTTCCGTATTTTTTGTTAATGTATTTCATTTGGACATTAGACGTCTCTGCGTGAGCAAAGAAGAATTTAAATTCGCTTTTTCATAATCTCAGGTTCTCTTGTTATTTTTTTTTAAATCAGGCTCTGAAATTCATGATTGGTCAACAACAACAACCTTAAGAGAGATGTTGAAGATACAAAAGCGAGATTCAAACTCATAAGTCGAAGACAAATAGACAACCCTATGAAAAAAAAAACCCAAAAGACACAAAAAGACCATAGAACACAACACAGAAAACTAAAGATTGAGTAACAGGAACCTCCCTAACATTGGTAATTTAACAAATATCATCTGGTTATTACTATTTGTACTACAAACCGGTGTTATTATAATCTGTTTCTCTGCATGGCTATATAATACTATAAAACTGGTAATAAAACAAGTTTTTTTGGATATATGTTAAAGAAAGGCAAAAGACACCAACAGGACATTCAAACTCATAAGTCGAAAATTAAATGACAACGCCATGGCAAAAAAAAAAGGAGAAAAAGACCAAACAACAAATAGATAACAGTATACAAAACACAACATAGACAACAAAAGTGTGTAACAGATGTATTATATGTATATTTTCATATTGCATACGTCTAAAATTATTGTAATGAAAAAAAATACAGCAATGACATAAATTACCTGTGAAGTCCTGCTATTGGAGATTGTAGGTTCGAAAATTAAGTTGTAATATCCGTCTCGTCTTTTTTTAATGGCTTTGAGGTCATGATTATGCTTGATAGAATGCCTTCAATAAATTATACCATTTTATTGCTTTATGTTAGCCATTAAATATAAATATGATAGATGAGAGTGAATAAGACATATTGCCGATTAAATCAGAGTATTTAATTTTGTTATAAGGTTTATTATTCTAATAGTATTTATGAGTTTTAATTTGTCCCTTAAAATAAGACTTTGTCTGAAAATTCAATGGAACGTGAAAGATATTATTTGAGATTTAAATGTGTACTTTACTATTCGCCACTTGTTTTGATAAACACGATTTTAACCAATAATTTCGATAGTTTTGAAGAAATGTTTAACCAGCCTAACCTTTATACATATAAATTAAATTTCAAAATTTTGATCTGCTTGTGATTAGATGTAATTTGCAATTCTATTAAATTTGTATCTTCGTAATTCGTGGAAATGTCTTTTGATTATTATATGAACTATTTTGTTTTGTGTTTCCATATAATTAAAATAATAAAATGTGTCTATATTTAAGGTATTGCTCGTGTTTTCGAAGTATTTCAAATTTTTACTATGAAAAACGTATCAAAAAGGTCAAAGTGGCTAAGCCAGTGTTTAATAAGACAACAAATCGTCAATAATAATTATAAACATGGTGTATATAACCTGTTATAGAACTGAATATTTGTTAAACGAAATTATATGATCATTATTGTAATGACAATTTTGAATTTAGAAGGTGTTTGTGTTCAAACAATTAAACTAAGAATTCATTTTATTTTATCATAGATCAAATTTATTCGTTCAGTGTATGTTCACTTGTGTTAATATGTCTTTTGATTGATATTTTATAGTGTGTCTTTCAATGTTGTGATGTTACACTATGGTTTCAGATAAGGGTGAAGGTTTGGTGCCATTAAAACGTTTACACCCGCTGCAATTGTTTGCACCTGTACTGGTTCATAAGTGTTTCTCGTTTCTCGTTTTTTATATAGATTAGACCCTTGGTTTTCCCGTTTGGTTTTACACTAGTAATTTTTGGGGCCCTTTATAGCTTGCTGTTCGGTGTGAGCCAAAGCTCCGTGTTGAAGACCGTACTTTGATCTATAATGGTTTACTTTTATAAATTGTGACTTGGATGGAGAGTTTTCTCATTGGCACATGTTCTTATATCTATTAGAATTCATTTAATGCATTTATGAAACAACAACCCTACCCCTTAAAAACCAAAAACAAAATAAACACCCCATATAAAGGGAAAATATATAGATTTTAAATTATTCAAACACGAGCTCACCTTTGACCATCACGTAAAAATCGTCGAAGTAATTCATTAGGTATTGAGGAAAATCCTGTTACCACAGTTAAAACGTCCTCACTTTCTGTAGGCGGTGATGAAGTTTGAACTGCAAGTGAGGCACTATCTTCAGTAGATAATGTAGAAAAGCCGTTAGTTTCTCTAATGTAATTTTGTGCCTCAGCGCTTAAATATTTATGATACAAAGACTGGACACTGAAATAAACATTAAGACATTAGTGAATTAAGTAGTATTTCATTTCCGTAGTTTATTATTCTGATCACTAGTGTAATCTAGCAAAAAGTGTCGCATTATATATATGTAAGTTATTGTATTTTCAATTAACTGAAGACAAATCAAAGAAAATATGATCGGAGTACACTTAGATTTACACGCTAATGAAAAATATTCAAAACAATTTCCAACATGGTTGTTAATGAAAAAACAGTATATTTATGCGTCAGAACCACTTTTCTGGATTTACCTTTATCAGTAACTCTCAAACCCAAAGATTTGAAAGCCAAGGATGTCTAAGACCTAAGTACGGGAACAATTTTATGAAAATGCCCGAAAGAGACTAAAAGGTAGCCAAATTCATCTCAGTTTAACTTTGCCGGAGGGAGTTGGAACATTGGTTTTCTAATGATTTCTTAATTTATCAACGAGGAATTTAAATATATAAATACTACTTCCAACTGTGTGATACTATAAAAATAAGGAAATGTGGTATGATTGCCAATGAGACAAATACCTAACAGAGTTCAGATGACGTGAATGTAACTAACTATAGCTAACCGTGCGCCATTCATCACCCTCAATATAGTATAGATAAACACTTAAGCAGTGTCATGACGTTGTATTTTTTCGACTGCTCCACTCACTAAATTTACACATACATTTAGAAGCATAACAATGCATCGCATTTAACAATGTTTAAGAAAACCGATTTTTGTGAATCAGCACAAGGGGATATGAAAAAGGGCAAAAAATAGACCAAACTCAGCGGCAGTTTTTCAGGCATGATTGTCTTTAACAAACCCAGTGAGAAAAAAAGTATTGTACAAGTAAATGCGCTTCTTTGTCTTTTAATTTTTCAATAATTTTGTAAGGCACTAATTAGTATTTGTTGAATAAATGGTAAAATATTTTAGGACAGTTAATTTGAGGTAAGGATCTATGCTGCACTTCATTTTGTAATATATTGAACAAAAGCATAATACATCATGACTGCCTTTATAGATATGGAAAAATATAATAGGTACATCAGTTAAAACACACTAAAAAAATGTTCGACAGTAGACAACACATAACAAAAAAAAACTATAATTTAAGGCATGGTTGCTTTTTGCGTGGTAATTAGGGTCATGAAACATTGATTAAAGCACACTTTGTATTAATAAGGAATCACTCCATACAAAAATGTGCCGTTGGCATTCCTATAAAAACTAGAAAAAGAAGCATTCAATTTCTATTATAATATAACATTTTAATTCTGAAACAAGGACATTACGAGTTAGATCGAGCTTTTCGTTTGATGTTTTCAATACTTATATGCATTGTTGTAACAGCCTCATACATTAAGAACATGTGCAGTCATGGATAACGCACTATCTTAAATTACTGCGTGATTGTCGTCTTCCAATGAAAATGATGGAAACGTTCTGAAAAATCTATGAAATGTAATTATACCTTCATGAATTTTGAAACCGTATATCAAAACAATACGTCATGTAATTCAATTATGCCGAATAATATGTAAAATGCAATTAACGAGAAAAGGCATACGTCTCCATTATGCAAAATTCATGGCGTACAAATGATTTCATGCGGGATCGTACTGTTTTCGTATCATTATACAATGTCTTCCGAATTTTATGTTAAAATTTCTTTTTTTTGATTGAAAGTGCTTATAACAAACATATTTTGTTTCGAAAAGCTGTAAACATAGATGATCGTCACTTGATATCATTTCAAATACATTTTTAAACAACAGCATTCAATTTTATAATATAAACATACCTTCGTTTATACATGACTACTCCACTTCTATCTCTGACGTAAAACTTTTTATCAGTTTCTGGAACATTGGTTGTCAGCACATCGGTGTAATTCCTAAATACCTCCCTTATTTGAAAGATAAAAACATAAGAACCATTACTTTCATTTGTATTTAAAAAGTTAAGAGCTATTATTAACGAGACACCTGTGAATTTTTTTTTAAGTACATTCCTATGTTCGTTAATGTAAGGAAAACTACTACTGCATATACAAAAAAGCCCTCATAGACACAAGGATTGAAATTTTTTACGCCAGGACGCGCGTTTCGTCTACAAAAGACTCATCAGTGATGCTCGTATAAAAAAAGTAAAAAAGGCCAAAAACACAAACAACCCAAGGTCTTGCAAATGGTCTGCTGATATTTTCTTTGACTTTTCATTTAGATCTTACCCCGTAATTTTCTCCCAAATTGTTTGATCTCGTACATTTTCAACTTTGGATTTTCCCTAATATCCCCGGATGTGTCCTTATACCTTCATCCCTGTTTTTTACCCTAGCTTACCCATTGTCTACTTATGTTCAGTGTTTCGTTATTCTTCGTTTCTTTTTCAATCTATGACATTTTCACCTTTATCCATGATACACTGTAAACCAATTTATACTGGTGAATACTTTTGCCATTTGATAAGGGACTTTAGAATTTTCCTTTGAGTTCGGTATTTTTGATATTTTACTTTTGACGCGACCGTCGAGCTTAGTTGCATATAGGAGGAGATCCCAGGTTGTTACATTCGAGATATCTTTTCTTCTCGATCGTTATAGTCGCTTCTATTAACCGCTTGCCAAAAATAGTTTGTTTACAGTAATAAACAGTTATGACTCATTCAAGTTTACTCTTTGTCTTACTCTTTATAATGATATACTATAGCATTTCATCTCTTTTAAAACTTAAATTTTACCTATTTTGCAAGACAATTTTCTATCATTTTTTGAATTCTTTAGACCTTTTTTTCCTATTTTTTTATATTACATACCATGTCAGTTGATCAATCGGTTTTCTCTCGTTGGGTCGCAGTCTATATGGTGTTTTATTGCCACCTAATTCGTCATAACGCAAATGGACTCCTCGTACATTGACAATGGTGTCAGGTGATGGTCCAGAGCCTAAATCGAATCTTTTGATCGGAAGCCCTAACTGTTGTATGGTTTCATGTAGTAATGCATGTGCTAAAAAGAATAGATTAGCAATTATTAGAAATAAAAATCATAATGTTTTAAACCATAAATTTCAATCGTGAACTGAAAAGCGTGATTCATTGTATAATCAAAATAATATACAATTACTGTCTTTTGATGAGGCAAGTATGTGGTTTTGTTGACCTTTGAAAAACGTTGGCATCAATGAATATCAGTTTTTCGAAAGTCAATTTAAACCACTATTTAGCAAAACAAAACAACATTACTTGTTTTATTCCATATTCCTTTAGAAAACAAATTTATGTGATGACTATCATTTACCTATACCAATTGTACATCAAACATTTCACCATAGCGTTGCATATGAAACCACGTTCCGTTTAGCGCGGTGAATATACTTTTTCTTCAGGTGAATATGCTGTGTTATTCAAAATCCAAATTATACAGAAAAATCTTCTTAAATAATTCCAATATAGAATAAGATGTTTTATAAAACCAGGTTTAATTCATCATTTTATACATAAGGAAATGCCTGTACCAAGTCAGGAATATGACAGTTGTTTTCCATTTGATAAGGGACTTTTCGATTTGAGTTTGAATCCTTGGAGTTCGGTTTTTTTGTTATTTTTCTTTTTATATTATATGGACATGTGACAGTGCAATTTTGCTGTCATTGATTACATGCTATCTTTTCATTTAAATATGGGTTGAGATCTCAAAAAACATGATTAAGCCCGCCGCATTTTTGCGCCTGTCCCAAGTCAGGAGCCTCTGGCCTTTGTTAATCTTGTATCATTTTTAATTTTAGTTTCTTGTGTATAATTTGGAATTTAGTATGACGTCCATTATCACTGAACAAGTATACATATTTGTTTAGGGGCCAGCTGAAGGACACCTCCGGGTGCGGGTTTTTCTCGCTGCATTGAAGACCCATTGGTGGCCTTCGGCTGTTGTCTGCTCTATGGTTGGGTTGTTGTCTCTTTGACACATTCCCCATTTCCATTCTCAATTTTATTATTTCCTCACATATCATTAGTTGTAAACTTACATCTCCGTAAATATCTCATACCACCTAATTCTACATTTATATCCGGAATTGCTGGGAACTGTACTGTATACATTCTTCCACCAACTCGGTTTGAATATTCGTAGATAGATATCCGTTTATTTTGTTGCCTTAATCGCCATGCAGCATACGTCCCAGCTATACCTGCACCAATTATGGCTATATCATCACATTGGCCAACTGAAATGATTTTTTCAGTTAGTACATGTAAGTATTATATTGACAGGAACTACTACGACCCGACTTCAGACGTTTTATCTGGGATGCCGCGTTCATTTTAATGACATGATAATTAAAATGGCACGTTATTTACACACCAGCGTGTGGCACCCTGCAATATTGTCATTCTCTGTTATTTCAGCGATTACGGAAATAAACTAAGAAATCGGAAGTTGTCATAAAGTAAGGAAACAGCAATCGGCAAACCTCGGCAGATTCTGCTACCTTACATCTGCTTAGGTGTGCCGAATCATAGATTGAAGGACTTGTGCAAGACATCATTAAAAATTCTGAAAAAAAAACATTGACGATCGAAATGTGTACAATACCTGTTGAGTAAATATACCATGTAAATTGACTTGTTTTTAGGTAGAAATTGCATTATGTATATCGCAAGTTGTGATTGATTACTCACTTTGTTTAACGTCCAGTGGCATACATTTCATGCATGTTTAAGACGATTGTAAAATAATTGTTCTGATAAAAATTAGAAATAAAAGAGATTTTGAATATATAAGAATTATAAAGCCTCGCTCTAAATCCAGGGTTGGATCATAGATCGGTGTAAGAAGAATGTTTCCGCTGAGCCCCGGCGTGGTTGAAAGCTTGCTTTTTAATCACTGTAACTTAAAAAATAGTTTATACTAGTATCATTTGGAGAGAAAGTGATAAAATATTATATAGGACAGAGATGGTTTAACCATTCAACTTTTTATATGTCTTTGTTTTTCACTCGGGTAAAATCATGTCATAATTGGCGCATTCATAAATGTACAAATAGAAATACTGACCCGTCTGTATATTATCGGATAAAACTCGCTCAAATACAAGTATCGAAGAAGTTTTGAATTTCACAAATGGATATAAATAACGAGTTGCGTCTTCTTCTTTTGAAAACTATTTTTGTAATATATAATTTCTCTGTGTTATTTAGCACTAAATCGATTATTTTTCGCATTTTAAACTGAAAATTTATACTTTCCTGGCTCATCATGATCCTTTACTTAATATATTATTCGATTCGTTACAGTGTTTTTTTTATATCAGGAAAATTTTCATAATTTGGCAGTAACCGGAACACGCCCTTATGACGGTTTTAACTTAACCCCTGAAAAAATTAAATATTGCGTTCTAATATTGATAATTCTGGGCCGATTTTCATTTTTTATGCATCAGTCAATTTGTTTATATAAGTTGTTTATAACTAAAGGTAAACCGACGTGATTGAAATAACCAAAGGTGTTTTCCGATAGGTATAAGTGTTAAAAACCACGTGTTGATAAGAAGTATCTCTGGTCAAAATATGACGGCGTCATCGAAGATATTCACAGACGAAATTAACGATAGCGTTCTAATTAGGCAGTTCTCATATCTTTTCTACAGTGCTCCCCGGGTTATAAATAAGTGCTAATAAATCGTTGTACAGCTCCTGTCAAAATAATACTTCCATGGTTAGTACAGACCTTCTAAAATTCAAACTGACCACACGCACGATACACGCACGCACGATACACGCACGGTGAATGCACGATACACGCACGGTGAATGCACGATACACGATACACGCACGATGAGCGATGAGCGTTACACGGAGGATTAACGAAAAATGAATGATGAATGATGAACGCACGATACACGCACGATGCACGATGAATGATGAACACACGATACACGCACGATACACGCACGGTGAATGATTCATTGACGAATGAACGATAAGCGCTTAATACACGGTTCTCAAAGCCATTTTATTTGGAATTGCATTTAAAATTGATGTATGATAATGAAAATCTATAAGGTTATACAAATTTTAGATATCTCGCTTTCTGTGTTGATTGGTCAACAGTTTTACTAAACACTCCATGTATTAAATAAATTAATTGTAGTATAGTATTTCCAATATCAATGAGTGTTGTCAAATTATAAAACTCATCGATTTTATAGTTCTACTTAATATAAATAATTTATAAATTGCTACGTTTTAAAGAGTGGCGATTCCAGCCATTTTTAAAAAGAGGGTTCTCAACCCAGGATAAAAGGGGTGGTTTTAACCATATGTCCCCATTCAAATGTATTGACCACCCCTTCTTTTTATCTGCCTAAATTTGTAACCTTAACTAATTAATTATCATATGTTTACGTTCCGAAATTTAGGAAATATTTGTATGTTTCGAAGTTTAGTATGATGTCCATTATCACTGAACTAATATTCATTTTTGTTTAGGGACCAGCTGAAAAACGCCTTCGGTGCGGGATTTTCTACCCATTGGTGGCCTTCGACTGTTTTCTGCCTGTACGTCTAAACACTGCTAAGGACTTATAATATGCCACTAAGGACTAGAAAGGATGTGTTACTTGTACTCTGTTTTCATTCTATGGTAGAGATAGATAGATTTTTATTACATAAATTCCAATTTTTAAAGAAAAAGAATCACCATTAAATGAGTAGTTGAACAATATTTGGAACGTGCCGTTTTTCCTTGATATTGCCGAAAATCAGTGATCCGACTGACACGAGCGAACTTACATAACAACTGATTAAACAATCATAATCTCTTTTTTTTTACTTAAGTTACAATGTTCCTTATATTATCAGAATCGTATGAGTTAATTTAGAGCAAAATATATAATTTGTCAGAAAAATCTGATTCGTACAAATTAATTAGAAATAGCTAAGAAAAGAAAATTTACCAAATAATGAGAAAATTTAAACATTTGTAATACCAAATACTTCATAATATACTTCTGAAACGACTTTTCGTCCTGAATATGCATGAAATTTTTGCCACTGGACGTTTAAACAACCACTGAATAATCAATCAATCAAATTTTGCTCTCAGTAAAAATGAATTAAACAATATAAGCCACAATTGTATCCATCACTTGGTGTCTGTTGTTTGTCTGTACAGTAAACATACTGAATCTTTTTATATTCCTTATACAATTTCAAGTATGTAATAAAATTTATACATTATATATTTTCAAACATCCTGGCACTTCAAATTTCTAGGAGGTGAGATTCTCGGGGTTTTACCTGAAACTCTTTGGGAAATGCAACTTTTAATTCCAATTCCAATTCCAAACTGTATTGATATCCCAAGGTTTTTTAAAATGCATTTCTAATTTGATAAGGAGATTTGAAAAAAAACGATCTCAACATGCTCAATGGTAGTTGAAATTATTCAGTGCAATCATTTTGTGTCCGCCGTTGTCTTTCATACATATCAATTGGTGTATCAACTGTTTGCTGTTCGTTATCTGTTGTTTATGGCAGTCAGGCCTCGCGATCGGTCTCCAAATTTAAGCCCCCACTTAGGTAAATTAATGATCATTTATAAGGGGGGGGGGGGCTTTTTTCTCGGGACAAACATTATTTTCCTTCCCTAAAAACAACTTAACAATTTTCTATATTTTTCATTTAATCATAAACCGATGATTATTAAATGATTTTTATAAAATTAAAAAATATTTTTATTCTAATATATCTAAATATCTGGGTTATTTTCTTATCCAAATAATATTTTTTTCATTTTTTTAAGGAAAAAGTGTTATCAGTTATGGCCCCCTCATTTTAGACATGATATTTTGCTTGATACTGTATGAAGATTATTCGTTGCAACTTTTATGAAGAAATTACCGACTTTTTTTTAACTAGATAAATATACAACAAAAATACCGTTTTTTCTTCTTGTATCAATTTCTTTTCACAAAACTTAAATATTAACAAAGAATTGTTACACAAATGTAGAGCCAAATTTTATAACGAAGATATTCCTAATCTCTTTACCGAAATCCGCATATCTTTATATCTTTTGAAACAAAAAAGCTAAGGATGTCTGTTCAAAGGACAACAATGTCCAAGAAACCGAAATGTTATAAGTAAATGTCGAATAATTCAAACCCATTTGTCTTTTAAATTTAGCACATGAAGATATAATTTTTATTACATATACAAATTGATTTTGTAAAAATTAGCTTGTATATATGTGAACTTTTGTAAAAAAAAATCACTGTGGTTCTAAAATTGTATCACATGCCCATAATTGTCCTAAAGCTAAATGTCATCGTCAGATTATGAGGGTCTGAATAGGGATTCATTATTTCTGTATTCTATCATTTTAGGCAATTTTTTCTAATCGTTATACCTTTTGTCGATTATTCTTTATTCCATATATTCTAGTACCTCATCATTTTCTTTTCTATATATTTGTCTGGTTATTTTTTGTATTATTTATTTTTTGGTCATTAATTTTCTATTCTATAAACCCCCATCCACACCCTCATGTATAATGGAAGACGATAACCATTTTAGTATACATACCACCCGTTGTCACTTTCACCTGACATACAAACCACAAATTGTTATTTTTACCTGGACACGGGACTTATATAATTACGTAATAATAACGGATATAGTAAATTCAGTAGAATATAACCTTTATCAACGCACTGGCTTGTTAAATGATTATTGATCTGACAACTGTTTATCATATTTTTAGTTATTTTAAAATTGAGAATGGAAATGATGAATATGTCAAAGAGACAACAACCCGAAAAGAGCAGATGACCGCCAAAGGCCACCATATTTTATAAGGTTTTAGTTTTTAATGAGACAGTAACCATCGTATTTTCAGAAAATCTCTAAACGGATAATGAGAGTTTAGCGACCTTGACTGGCTATACAGCCCAAGCACGGTCGGTCTCTAAAAGTTGCCGAATTTAAGAGCCTATATCAAGAGATAGGCTTTACCTAGCTTTAGGTGTTTAAAAAATATCCATTTAAGAACCAAATGTGGCTTCTTTATATTTATACCAAAATTGAGTTCAAGGCAGTATTTTGTCGAAGAGAACAATTACACAAATTGCAACATGCGAGACGAGGTTTCATTTCCCTTATTTATTTTTTATTGAAGTGAGTAATCGTTTGAGATTACTTCACGGAAATATATTTTAAATGAAAAGGTGCAACTGGATGCATCCCTAAAACACAAATTTAAATATATATATATATTATCTGAAGATCTGTAAAAGCAGTGAAAGCGCTAGTAAAAGTGATGAATTGAAACCGTTATAATCTTTTATTAATTTTTCTTATATGTTACCAGCATACGGATTCTTCTTAACTTTTCTTTATATATATATATATTTATAATTTAAATTTGTTTGTTATATATATATATAAAATGACGGATATTCGTCAATCAGACAGCAATCCAACATAAACACGAGTAAGTTACCTGACATCTAGAATAAGAGGTTTAAGCATACTTTCTGAGTTGTGGCTAAAATTCAATATACATGTAGGACTGTGAAACGGGAAATATACGAAAGATTTGTTTTTACGTACGATGAAGTGTCATTCCCTCAATACACACGGGTCCACCGTGAAACTATCTTTATGATTATATAACGGTAAATGATGATCTCATTAGAGGAACAAATTAAGTAAAGATACATGTTGAAGCAAGAATAATTTCCACATTCAAAACATCAAATAGGACGATCTCTAAATTAGTACACGGCAACTTTAACTAGTACATTCATAGACAATAACACTAGTAAATGCTTTATATACTGACATTGAAACAAATATACTGCTCATAATAATTGCACATCTGTAGACTTTAATCTAGGTATCCCGCGTTATATAAACCATCGCAAACCATCGAACAGCTCATCGCACTTCGGCGCAGACCAGCGCACATCACGCGTGGCCATCAAACTTTATGATCTCCATTGCACCTCCGAGTCGTACACACATATATATTCCGATTTTCTAATAATGGTTTTTATTATTTTAATTCCCGTAGGTATTGCCCAAATAAATAGGGAATTTCTCGCTGCATTGAAGACCTGTTGGTGACCTTCTGCTGTTGTCTGTTCTATGGTCGGGTTGTTGTCTCTTTGACACATTCCCCATTTCCATTCTCAATTTTATTTATTTAAGGGTTTACACATCTTCATAGCTAAAATATTTTGATACTTATATCA